GCATCTGTCTCTGCTCTAGCTCCCCTCATAAGGCAGGAAAGGAGAACGGCTTGGGGTGTTTGGAGGGGTTTTGTTTTATTACCAGTTGTATTTTCAAACTTTTAAAAATAATTTTTATTCCTTGAATGATTTACAGGAGTTGAGAGTAAGCTCAGCACTTAACCTGCCTCTGCGGTGTTCAAAACATAACAGAGTTAATATGCCCTTATCAGCAGGCAGCACCGAGCTGGTGCATTATCGGGGAAGACAGCTATTAGAGGTAATATGCACAATCCAAAATTACAGGTACTTCCTAAACTGTGCTGCGGAGAGTGTCTGGAACTCTGGTGATATCTCACTTCCTCTTTAGAGCCTGAGGCCCTGCATGGCTTTGAGCTTTCTTCTTGCCCTCTGTCAACCTGCCCAGGTCTGCAGCAGCAGGCCCTGGTTCCCTTACTAAGAACCCAGCTTTCTCTCCTTTCATCCCAGTGATTTTTCTTTTCTTTCCTTCTTAAATTCCATTGATTGGTAACAAGCATTTCACCAGGGACTTGAGCACAGTCTTTCATTCACCATTTTAGGGATGGTGAGTAAGTGGCCTGAATTTTCCTAAGTGGTTTAGCCCTACAGCTGCTAAGGGAGGATGCAATGAAACTTCACCTGCTGTTAACATGTGGCTTTGCCTGATTTTCACAGGGCGAGCAACTTTGTGTTTCCTGGCTCTTGGCTTTGAAATTTAGAAAATTTCATTTTGTTCTCATTTTGTCACTCCTTTGTCACCTACCAGGCTCCTCCCCTCATGTCACTTGTATCTGTGATCTCTGGAAGCTGACTCAGACTCCTTTGCATTCCTAGGATAGGACAGATTTTGACCGACAAGAAAGTTAGGGTAAACGCTGATTCTACTGGCCCTGGTGTTAGTTCGATGGAAGAACTGAGGCAGGAAGGTCTGTGAAAAACAAGGTCCAGCTAGAAGGAAAAAAAGATAATTGGAAAACAGACTTCCATTCATGCGCATTTCTGCTCTCCTTGCTTTTTCTTCTTACCTGCCTGACAGACAATTCCCAGGAAACTCCCTGCAGCGACTCAGAATTAGGTGAAAGTTTGTGTATTGGTTCCTCTGGAATTGTTTTGTGTCTCCTGTCAGCTTGTGGTGTTTGTTTCTGTGACTGTGCCTCGGGTGTAGAGCTTTCTGATGCACACTCCCTTGCTACATGTTAAACAGGAGAAGGCAGGCAGCCTAGTTGGCTTCCTACGGACTTAGAGCTCTGGTTGGGGCGGGGAGAAGAAAGACAGGGACACAGCTCTGCCCTTAAGAGTTCTCCCAGAGGTGATCCGGTTATGTCCAAGTAGCCATCTGCACTTACATTTGAGTAGTTAGAGCTTGCTCAGGTAGCAGATGTCTTAGACCAGGCTTGTTTCTCTCACCTAATGAAGTCTGTTGGAATGAATTTTCATACAAATTCACTGACTACCTTGAACCTCACTCTCATTCTCCAGATATTCTCAAGTGCCGAGTTTAGCTGCTAAGGCCCTCTTACCTCCTGTCTTCTGTTTAGTGTTCAGATGGCAGTGAAGACTTGCAGAGGCACTCAGATTCAGCCAACCCCATGTTACCAGGTAGTAAGATGGCAGAAAAAAATGTTTCTTCTAATCTCATCTATTCTCAGATCCATTGTCAGGCTCCCTGGTACATGGTCCAGAACTAGTTCCCATACCACACCCGGCACCCCTTCTGGTCATTGTACCACCACCCATCTCAGAATACTATTAGAAGAACTGATAGTGCATTATATAAGAATCAAAAATTAGTCGAATAGATGTTTCAAGAAGTTATTTTTACTTTTACAGTAATTTATACATGACATTGTTTTTATTGGATTGCCTACATCATTCTGATGGATTCTTTTGATCTCACTTGTTTTGCAGACTTGTATACATCAATATTCCTTTTGACAGGTACTACTGTGAAAACCACAGACTGTTTTCTCTTTCACTATAGTAGTCCCTCCTTTCCTAGACTTATCTCGGGCACTGTCTCTGAGAGTTTACCGACTTTTAAATCACTTTTGTAGAAACAGTCTCATTCCTAATATATCTGTCTCTGTCACTGGCCTAGGCCTTCCCTGTTTGGGAATGACGCTGCTCAGATGAGCTCTGCTTCCCACACATCATTCTCATTGGTGTTTTAACAGTCCCTGGACCCCCTGCTTGCATGGTTGTACAGATCATGCTCCCAACTGAAGCTCTGCCAACTACTTTCCTCTCTTCTGACAGTTGTACTTAATCATCTGGCACTTGTGCTTAATTTAGATTCTTCCCTTTGAGGGGCATTGAGGCTGAGAAAGGAAGCCCTGCGCTCTATCTCGTCTTCCTGAGAACTGGAGCGGGATATAATACGTTCCTTTTCCCATGTGCTTTATGATCATGAAAATATGGAGGAGCTGTCAGGGACGTGGGTACTCACCTGACTTTCTCAGGTAAATGGGGCATGCCCACCTCCTAGTAGTCCCCAACAGGATATTGAGTATTATAGGAAGCCTACCCTATCTCGCTTGCTCTCTACCCCCACCTCCATGTTAAGTTGATGTAGTAAGAATTTGTTAGGTACTTTTTATGTGCTTGACACTGGACAAAGACGAAACCAGAATGACTTTGTCCTCAAGGATCTTACATTGTATTAGATGTGTGTAGAAAATATGTAGTAATGTTGGGAAACATTAGCAACTGGGATTGGGGAATCAGAAAAGGTCTTATAGAAGCTAGCACTTCAGCTAAGCTTTGAAAGAAGTTTAGACTTCTGAGAGGCAGACAAGAAAGGGGAGTGCACACCCAGATATTGGAAGGAGGAGGTGGGAGAGGCAACTTGGCAAAGACATAGAAACAGGAGTTGACATGGCTTGCAAGATTATAAAAGGCTTTAACTGAACAGAAGTTGGTATTTAATCCTAGAGGCATAGGGAGCCACGGGAGCTTTTTGAGCACCAGGGTGATCTGATCAGACTTGCTTTAGAAATGTCACTTTGGCATTTGTGTGGAGAAGAGAGATGCTTGAGACAAGTCGATTTAGGAGGCTCTTAAGGTAGCTCAGGTGATTGGTGATGAAGTCCTGGATTATTGGTGGTCGTACGAGGGAATAAAAGGGGATGACTGCTAAAAGTGTTAGGGTGAGAGAATCCACTAACACTTGGCTGCTAACCATTTCCCTATGACTTGGTACTTAAATAAAGGTTAGTGCCTCCAAATTTCCTATCAGTGCAAATGAAGAAGTCAAAATTGGACCAGAGGCACAAGAGAAAAATTCATCTTCTTTTGTCTTTGGAATTCCGTTCTTTTCATTTTTCAGACCATTTTTTTCATTTTTCTTCATTTCTTTTTCTTGATGCATTTTGGTTTTTACATCATTTTCATCTCTGAATATGTCTTTCCCCTACTTAAGCAATCCTTCTCTTGAAACAGTTTTTTTTTTTTTTAAAACATTTCAGCCAAACCAACTGACATCTACCATGTCTGTCAGCATACCAAACGTTCCACATCCATAGTTCCTCACCTCTCCAGCAAAAGGAGGAGGTACATTTTCTAATATATCTTCTGGGGCCAAGCTTGGACATTATAATTACACCGTTTTGTTTCAATTTTGTTTTATTATTTTTTCAGTTTATATTGCTGGCAATTGTGTATATTGTTTTCCTGGTTCTGCTTCTCTCTTCATCAGACCGGATGTCTTCCCCTTCTTTGAAATCCCTATATTTGTCATTTCTTATGGTGTCATAATTCCATTATATTCAGATGTCACAATAGCCTTTCCCTAATTGATGTGCCATCTCTGAAGCTGACAAAACCTTCTCTTTGCATAGAGTTCTGCCTCAATTCAACTTTATCCTTGAGTTTTTAGACCAGGCAATTATACTAGAGTGATGGTACTCATATTTGTAAAGTGTGCACCAAACATGCAGCTCCTGTTGGGTGACAGTATTTATAGACTAAATGAATCAAAGGAGCTGTTAATTCAATCAACAAATATTTATTGGGTACCTACTATGTGCAGAATGCTACACTCAATGCTGAGGGGGTAGGGAACAAAAAGTTTCTTCATCCTCAGGGAGCTTGGGTAAATGAGATATCTACATAAAAACATATTATGAAAAGTTTCCTATAAGTGCTAAATGAGTGGTAAAAACAGTGGGTCTTGCAAGAGTTGAAAGGACAGTAGAACTTTGCATAACCCCATGGAGGATGAAGAATTTGAGATTCTCCTGAAGGATGAGTAGGGTTTGGATAAGTGAAGAGAAGAAATAGGGCACTTCTTATTATGTCATACTGTGAACAAAGTCAGGGAGACGGGAATATGCAAAGAACATTCTTGAGTCTATGAGTAGTTCATTTGGTTAGCTCATGAAAGAGTAGTAGGAGTCAAGTTTGGAAAGGTAAGTTGTACTTAAAACTGTTGATTCCCAGGCCAAAGAATAAAGACTTAACCAAGGGCAGAATAGTTAATGGTTTCTGAGCAGCAAAGTGACATGATGAAAGCCGTGCTTGAGGAAGATTAATCTGGCAACAAAGTAGAGGAGAGATTGTAAGAGGGAGAGGCTAGAGGCATGTAAGCTATTGAGTTAGTCTAGCCATAAGATAATAGAACTAGAGTGATGTCTGTGGGAATTGAAAGGAAAGAGCATACTCAATATACATCAAAAATGAAGAATCAGTAGGTAGCACTTTGCGAGTGACTGGATAATTGAGTAGAACCTAGGGGAGAGAGAAAATAGAGACAGTTTTGAGATCTCCTGAAAATTATGTCATCGCTGACATAAAAGGAAATTAAAAAGGAGAAACTGATTTGGGAAGAAGACGGCATTACTTAACTCCTATTGAATAGTAATTCCATGGTCCTAGGAATGGAGCTTAGCTGTGGTTCATACAAAGGTATTTGTCATCATAAGGATAGACAATCTACTGGGCAGCGTTCCTTAAGGTTCTGTTGGGAAACTGGCCTCTTCTCACTGTGCTTTTTCCTGACCCAGGTATTGAATGTCCCCGTGGAGCCCGGAATCTCCCTGGCCTGGTACAGGAGAGAGAGCCCTTCAGTGAGGAGGCAACACTCTTCACCAAGGAGTTGGTGCTCCAGCGAGAGGTAGGTGACTCCTGGCTGGGAAGCCAGGTCATAACAAATACTTTTCTGCCACGTTGTCCACAGTGAGTCCAATCCTAGAAGATAATGACACTCACTGGCCAGACTTGCCATTCTATAGGTTGGAAGTCAGTTCCCTTTCCACAAGAATCTCCTTCAGTGTGCCTGAGTTGAGAGGTCTTTCTAAGCTCCTCTTGGCCATCATCACGTTGGGAAGTTACAAAGGCACCTGAGAGCTCTAAGCCCTCCCAGGACACAGCCAAGATCTTAATGCAGTAAACCCAGGGCTCAGCAGCACTCTTTCTTGGCTTATTAGCTGGGCCCACCTGCCTCTAGCTGAATTTAGAAGCTTGACTAACCCTGTCAGGGTCCAATTTTCTTTGAACATTTATTTGTATCTTTGAGTAATTGCATTTTCTGTAGTGGATTTTCTGACTTAATTTAATTGTATTTCTGTTTCTGCCTGTTAGGCAGGCTCTTTCAGGCAGGAGTTATATTCTCAACTGCTATGGGCACCTCCTTTACTGATTTTTCTCAAGTCCTAGACAGCTGATTCCTCACCTTCCTGGGGCTATGTTGTCAGCCTCTGTCCTTGCTAGCAATGCACGGGCTATGTAGGGTTGGGGAATGATTTAAGTTCAAGAACAAGGTGTTCAGAGCCACCGTCTCTTTCATTTCTCTTCTAATCAGCCTAATAGGGGACAATCAACCCTTCATGCAATACCCCGTTGCTTCCTCTGGATGGTAGCTTGAGGTGTGATCTGGACATCCCTTTCTGAGAATTCTGTAGGTGCTTATGATATATGTTTATAATAGAATAAACTTTATTCTAGAGTTTGCCTATGCCTCTGAGAATAAAGAGTCTGAACTCCAACCCAGAATGAAGTTGGTTAAAAAGAGGTCATGCAACTGTTGTTACTTCATTATTGCTTTTGCATGTGAACAGACTCTTGGCAGTAAACTTGAAGAGGTAAACTACTGTAGGGTGTTAAATAATGCGGATACCTATTTCTTGCTGCTGAAACCCTCCACTTGGCCTCCATTCTGAAATGAACCTATAAAGTATGAGTCTAATAAGACTGATCTAAGAGGCATGTGTTCATCTAGACCTTGCATTTAGGAAAACTAGAGCACTGAATCTGGAGTCATAGGTATCACTATAATGATATGGATCACAATCTCTTAAAATTTACCCAGTGCTTGCTCTCTGAAAAGTCAGAGTACATTGTGGATGTGGGAACTACAGTGGAATATTCTCTGTACTGTTTGTCAGCAGCCATGGGTTTTGATTTTAGCTGTTAACTCCAGACTGTTAGGGAATCACTTATCTGCTTCTTGTTTTAACTTTTCTAACTATCCACGCAGTCAAATTATATATGAGTACTTCAATGCTCAGAAGAAAGTTACATATTAGGATTAATTTTACCTTGTAAAATAAAATCATCATGCTGCCAGTCAAGATTAATATGCCTTCCTATATCATCATTAGGGACTCCAAGATGAATTTGTATTCACTGAGTGTGTCCCCGTCCTAGAGAAGTGTTCTAAGAACTCCAATCTGTTAGGAGGTCATTTTTATTCTGGAAGAGCACAGATTCATTAGTAGGAAGAAAGACTGCAGAATTTCTCCATGACTACCTAAGATCTTAACTAGCATACAACAAAATTGTCCTGTTGGAATACGTGGCAGAGATGAGCTACTCTCATGTCCACAGAGTGTAGTTGGATTATAGAATAAGCCAGAGAAGAGTTCCATGCAGTTTTCCACATTTCATGCTCAAGGGTAGGGAACTTGTGGTCACAGGTGCTACAGAGCAGAACTAGAGGCTTTTCCTCTTTTTTTCTTCTCTTTCTCACTGTGTTTGGGGCCTACCAATGACGGCTAGCCCCACAAAAGGTCAGTAGTGGGCTGTAAGGGTGTTGTTCCATTTTAGGAGAATGTTCCCTTTAGAAGTGAATGAGTAACTGGGGCCCTTTTCCTTTGTCTTTGCAAGAGTTGTCTTGATACACCTGCTTGTTCCTTAAACTGATGATAATAGTCCTCATCAAACTCACTGTGGCGGCTGACTGACAATGAGTTTGAGAACAAACACTCAACAGACCAAAAGTTGATCTTTATCTATTTTCACACACCCCGCCTACCCCTGCATCTTCCAACAAGCACAGCTCAGTCTTTCTCAGCTTTGGTGAACATTTCAGTGGGAGAACCTCTCTAGTCAATTTTAAAGATTCCCCAGCCTAAAGAGCTTAAAAGGGAGGAGAAGAGACCCTGGATCTTAGGGAGCATTGATGAGGTTTACAGCAAAGAGACTTTGCTATAATAAAGAGCAGCTTCTGGGTTTTTTCCCCCCATATAAAAAAGTTTCTTCTGAGTAGTGTGGGATGAGAAATTCATATTCTTCAATAATTGCAAGTATCACAGCTGTGTCTAGAGATTTAGAGGAATTCCAGGACAAGAGAAAGAAGAAGACCCAACCTTCCCCTAGATGTCCTATCACCTTGACTTTTCTTTTGCCCCTCTGAAGCAAGGGAATGGGTGATAACTTGCCATGGGATGACCTCTGCAGACACATCTTTCCCAGTCTCTAGATAATATGCCTTTTAAATAACTTGATGGATACTTCAATACAGTCTGTATTATTAGTCCCCTTGCTCCAGAATTATGCTTACCTGCAAATCTCCAGTGATGGGGCAAAGCAGCATCCTCTTGGCTTTGTTGACTCTCCAGAGATCTTGCTGTGTTGGTCTTGCTGCCATTGTTCACAAGCATCATACTCCACCCAGATCAGGTGACTAGATCTGAAAAGATCCTGCTGTCCTAGACTCAACTAAGCCTTCCATCTCTCCTTACCAACAAAGTCCTGCCGCTTTCATTTTTTTTCTAGTCACAACTTGGCAACTGTCCCAGAGAATTTTTAGGGTACTGAAGTATGACCTCAGATATCCCTGGGGCAGAGATGGAATAAGGTGGACAAAGGGCCCGTTAGGCTTAAGAAGAAATAACGATAGAGTTGTGGACTAGACCTATGATTTCGCTGGAATGGGGGACTCCCAGGTAAGGAAACTTCTTCAGTTGTAGGTTGACAGCTGCTCTGCAGCTTAGAGTCTTAAAGAGCTGTCTGAAAAACTAAGAGATTAGTGACTGGCCCAAGGTCACATAGCCAGAGGCTATGTCAGATCACATGTCAGAGGCAGAACTTGAACCCATCTTCCTGACTCTGAGACTCTGTTCACCATGTCTACCTTCAAGATAGGGAGAATAGAAAGATGGGGCTGGACTTATGTAATGTACATTGCATGTGGAAGGGGGTTCCTTCTCAGGGAAAGAGTGACTAGTAACCTGGCAGTTTGTCTGGGAATAGAAATGGGCAGACACTCTTCCATAAGTTGCTATTTAGATTACCCAGATGCTGGAATCCTGCAATCTTGTTCCTTAACTGTCATTTTTCTCTGCCATTGTAGTCCATCTAGGCTAGTTTGTCTAGAGTTTTTCTATCCCATCCCAAAGCCCCTCATGGAACACTGAGTGTCACACATAGCCCTTTCTCTGCATTGTCAGCGGTTGGGTTCAGGTTCCTGACAGCCATCATTATATCAAGAATTGTCATCTTTCTTCCCCTGAAATGTCTTTTACATGGCACAAGTTGACAATGACTTTATGATATTTCAAGTGTGCTTTCTATTCCTACCTTTCAGAGCTTAAGGACTCAGTGTTTGCTCATTTCTCTCTCTTTTTTTTTTTAATGTACTTCCCTTTAAAAACCCCATCTTGGTGGTCTGTTTTCCTCCTTTGTTGGCAACCTGAGATTGCCATTCTGTAACAGGGTTTTATCACCTATTTTCAAATGTCTTGAGTGTCAATGGTACCAAGTCAAGAAAAGTGATAATTTAGGTACCACAGCAGAAGTACCTTAACCAAGATAAGTCTATTTGTAATCTTGATTCCAAGAATTAATAGTTTGCTGAATGGAAGCCCCAGTGAGCCAAATACCACTTCAACCCCCTGATACTTACCTATCTTTGGCAGGAAATGATTTGAAATAGATTCTTGCTCTCATAAAGATTCATTCTCTCATACGACAGTTCTTATATGGAATACAGGATCAGGGAGAAGTGGCAACAAGCTCACCAAAGCATTAGACTAGGAATTAACTGGCTTCTCTCTCGTATCCCTTGTCATTGACACATATGTACATCCCTCCAGGAACATGGATGTGGTTATTGCTGTGGCGTTGAGCAATTAACTTCATGTGACATTAGTCCCATGCTCTTGTCCCAGGCACAGAGCTAATACCTCCACCTGCTGTCTATCAAAGGACTGGAAAATCTGATTTTAGTTCCCAGGTGGAGGTTTGTGTCAGTTAGTTGCATCTCTCCAGCAATAACAACCCTGTAGTTACAAGTTACAAGTCCTGTAGTTCGCGTATTGTAAACCAGACTAGAAACAAAAACTGGGTTTCCTCACTCCACTTATTGCATGGCTTCGGGTAAGTGATTTGTCCCTACTTCATTGTCCCATTAGATTAGTGATGCTAGATCCTTCCCTTCCTCTGGGGGCCATTCTGGTGATAGTACAGCAATAGTTTGTGAGACCTTTGGGCACATTCTTGCTGGGCAGCTAACCAATCAGCAGATATTTATTGACCATTTACTCTGTATGCAATACAACATTTAGTGTTAAGAAAGTTTTAACTGCATAGACAGTAGTTAGGAATCATCATAAGGCAGTAATTCTGTGGTTTTCTCATTCTTCCCATTTACAGGCTAGTGAAATCTCTTATCTGTAGAAAACATAGAGAACCTTCCTTATTAAAATCAATGATCACCAAGACCTTCCCCCTAACCTCTAAGCATCTCTGGGCCCTCAAATCATTGCTTCTTCATGGAGAACAATGGGCTCATGCTGTCTTGCCATACACAAGATCAGACCTGCTACTCCAACCTATTTCCCTTCTTCCTGCTAGCATTGAAAAAGAAGTCACCCTAGGGAGCTGGGACTGCAT